CAACTCGAAAAGGTTTACACAGATAATAATATTTTAGATATGTTGACTAAGACTTTGTCAAGTGACAAACATTTGAAGTGTCGAACTTTCGCGAGTATTGTTGATGTCTCCACCTAAGTTGGTAAGGGGAGAATTGTTAGGTATACCTTCTTAGTGGAGTATGGGATCCGATTGGTTTATTAAAAATATTTAATTTGGTTTGGTGTTGGTTAGAATATATTTTCTATATATTATATCTAACTTTTGGAGGCCCAATGGATAATTATGAATCTATTTGGTAATAGCTAGGGATTTGATAAAAAGCCCAAGAGACAACAATATTTTGGGATTGTTTTAGCTTTGAAAGGGGCATCCGTTTGGCTTTGTGGAGCAACAGATTTTTTATCATTATTCAGTGGTGGTATTCATGTGCTAATGAACAAATAATAGTGCTACTCTGCTTCGTCTGGTTCAGTTTTCAGTTCTAATTTGGGCGCATTATTTTGGGTCTTCTACAACTATGTTTTGAAGACTTTTGTTCATCTATTTGGTGAGGTCTTTCCTTTTGATTATTTGTGATTATTTGGAATTCACCTAAGGGTGGTTTTGTGAGACCATTCGTGTCTCATTTGGAAACTTTTTGGTTGAGAGTGAATCAAATTTCGATCCCGTGGAAGTACCTCACATTGAGGAAACCATGTAAAATTCTTGTACCGTTGTTGATTTAATTTTTTCGCATTAGTTTTTATTTCCATTTGTTGATTTACTTGTGGGAAATCATCTATTTTCGCTAACATAATCAATGTTGGATGAACTTTATTTTTTTATTTTTTATTTTTTTGCATGGATAATTTTCTTATTTAGTTGTATAAGATGAATGGTTTCGATCACCAAAGTAAGTCCAAGTTAGTCCACTAATGAGTCAACTGTACCGTGAAGTTGAGATCTTTAACTTTAAAAAATCTAGACTCAAGGGAAAAATGATAGTTGGAGGGATGGTATTTATCAATCTAGCTGGTACTAGTTTTTGTCTCCTTTTTGCTTTGAATGTGTTTGTTGACCATTCTCCCAGTTTTGGTTTTGGACAACAATGATGTAGGTTCATCATTTCATGGAGTCGTCATTAGCTTTGGGAGCATGCGTGGGAGTTTATTCTTTGGTCTTTTAGTTTTGTTACTAATTGGCTATTTCATCAGGGGTCTTCTATAACACCCCACTCTTTATTAACCAAATACATTAATTTCTTATTATTATTCGCTTCCATATAAGTAAATATGGAAGTAAGATAGAATAAATAAAAAGAATAAATGTTCTCTCTGAAATTATACAATAATAGAATGCTTAACACAATGAACTACTACATATGCCATTAGGCTTACATCAAGGAATAAGAAAGAAAATAAAACAATGAAATAAAAGGGTTTAACCCTCTTTACAAATTAATGGCATTCTGCCTACAATTTAATAGGTCTCACGGCCAACATAGAAAGGCTTCTACCCTTGAATAAATCTTCCATATGTAATACTTGAAAAATTGTCAACAATGTGGGATGAACATATTGTTCAGTAGAAATTCCAATAATTCTAGTTAATGTAATCTATACATGTATATGATCATGTATGCTTCACATAATAAGTATCTCAATAATATTAACTTTATCAATATCCAAAATATGCATATCATAAGTATATTTTTCCTTGACAGGCGAAGGAAAACATTTCTTATCCAAGTCTAACATTCATTGTTCAAAGAAGTTCTCAAGTTTTATTCATTTTGAAAAAAACAAATCACACATAATCAATTATGTTTCTTGTTCTACTCAATGACTTAAAATGACGCTCACATTATTACCAATCCAACACCTATATTGTTATCAAAATCTCACAGATCATCCAACATTATAATATTATCACTTACTCCCACATTTTTCTGGCCACTAAGTACAGAAGGCAAATGATGCACCCTTCACATCACAACACACATATGTAATTTAAACAAAACAATACTACCGCAATATACAATCCAATTTCGTCAAGCCATAACCATCCACTTTACCAAGCGCTAGCTGGAGAGAACTTAGAACCCATCATTTGAAGCACAAACCAATTTATTAGGAGCTAGATGGAAGAAACTTGGGACCTCTCATTCGAAGTGCATTCCACTTTACCGAGTACTAACTAGACGGAACTTGGAACTTCTATATGGCCCTTTCAAAACATAACTCAACATAAACCACAACATTTCCATTTATGTACCAATCAACAAAATTACACAATATGTAAAGATTCAATTCACCTAAATTCCATATCATTTTACAACAAATAATGCAATCCTTCACCGATTGCCAAAGACAAAACTTCTAAACATTATATATTCCGATATCAACAACATACAACGTGAAAGTAATTCAATAATACATCAATCAAATTGTTTCCAATTCACATACGATTCCCCTCATTCCAATTTCATTAATTTATTACAATTACATTTTCTCAAAATTTATCATTTTTCCCAATTATTTGATAAAATTAAATATCTGTGTCTCATGTGAGTACAACTCTCAAATTCCCCAAGTAAAATCATAAATCTCCACATACATAGGTAAATACTCCGAAACATTAATCAATTAGCTTTATATGTTGATTTTTCCAAATTGCACAATTTCATTATGTTAGGGTTTCATAAATTTTAGGGCTTTTCCCATCTTAGGTATCCATGCACTCCAAGGTCTTGCCAAATTTACCATACACAAAGAATTACTCAAGAAATACCCAATATAATGTAAACCCTAACTTGCACTACTCATGCTTTTAAAACCTCTATTACATCACCAAAATTTTGTAATAAAAATACCATCCATCTATGTATAACCACCACATTAAGAGGAATTAAAGAAATCCCCACCTCTTGAAGTGAAGAGGAGAAGCCTAGAAAATCAACGTTGACAAAATCACAAACTAATTTTCTCAAAAGGAAGCTCTCGTCGCACTCTACGTTTTGGTATTAAGAATTAGGGTGAGATTCTGAGTGTAAGTTTGTGGATTTGAAGCCCTAAGAGCTTCGAAACTCAATAGTGGCAAACAGGTAGAGAGAAGAGAGAGAGAGAGAGAGAGGGAGAGAGAGAGAGAGAAGCATAAAAAAATGATTTTTGATGCGCATTTAGAGCATATATAGTCCGACGTGGTCAAACCATCGCAGGCGTAACCAAGAGGGTCACGAGCAGCCTTGCGGTCGCCAGGGTTTCCATAGACAAACTACTGGAAGGTGTTTTTGGTCACGAATGCAACCATGGTGCTCACGGGCGCAAACATGCACATGGGAAAAATCTAGTTCAAAATTCTATGGCACATTCCTGCATAGCAATCTTATATTTCATCTAGTCTCTTACATTTATATTTCATTTATTTAAATTTATAATGTAAATAAGGAAGTACCCCTCGTTTAGATTCAAAGAAAAATACTAGAAAATCAAAATCTAAATAAATCAATAAGTGGTTCTCCCAGTTTTAGTACAAAATAATTTTCCGACTGCAAATACTAAACTTGACGATTAAAGTAAGGTGACTAATACTTTGTAGAAAAATCTCATAAAGTCAATTTAGACTACTTAATATATGAGGAACAATTACTGGAAAAAATTGTTTTTAAAGTCTTGAGTTTTGAAAATTTCAATTTTCACACTTAGAAAATTTTCAAACTTGGTCCAATTTTTTACAAAAAATCTTTTTAATAAAACTATACGAAAAAGATAAGGGAACGAGTTTCAACCCAAGCCATTACCTTTCTATTTTGTGAGGATTCATGAATTTACCTTTAGGGGACTTTTGCTAGTTGGCTTCTAGCCATCATCTTTTTTCAATTTATATCATGGGTTTTTTGGTTTATCCTTTTTATTGATGTATGTGAAATGTAACACTACTGTACTATGTTCATTTACATTAGTAAAGTAATTTTTTGCTAATCAAAATAATGACAGTAGATGATGGTCGAGAGTTGTGCCATTATTGATGGAGAAGAATGAATAAATAAATAAGAAGAAAAAGAAAATAGATTAGGGCTTATATGTTTAAGGTAAAATGGTTATTCATGATTGTGGGAGCCATGTTCAAGCAGTCTAATACCATTAAGCCCAATTGCAGGCCGGTCCATTTGGCCTCATCCATCAGGCCCATTTAGAGCTAAATAAATAGGCCAAGTAGCAGATCTTGGTTCTGGTAGCAGAAGTCGAATAGTCCATTTAAGTCGGCATCTTGGCCAATTGCCAATTCCTGTCCATAGAGCGCTAGGGGAGTAAATCTTGATGAGGTGCGTAGTAGGGGATAAAACCTAAAAGAGAAGCTCTATAAAAGGAGAAAGAAGGCCCAAGGATCAGGTATGTTCCAAATAGCTCATTCAAAAAAGAAAGCAATCTACATACTAGGCTAAAAAAACTAACTAGACCGTCAGAGTGCTAATTCCGGCACCCCCGACTGGAGTTGTTATTTTATTTCAGTTGATTATCAAAGGACTGTTCCAGGATCTGCTTGGATAGACGAGTATCCCAAATCTATCTCTCCACAAATGGCGCCGTTTGTGGAAATACTCAAACTCATCCATGACAAACCTAGTGCAAGATCTTTCACTCACAGAAGATAACATTACACCAGGAATAGTATATGGGCCAAAAGACATGCCCACACGAAGAACTCTGAAATTTGACCCATTGACACCTTTACCTTCGTCCTCAGTAAAGAATGCCATGCAAACCCTTATCGGCCAAGCAAAATGAAATGAACAACAAATGGACGATATGACAGCTCATAACGAGCGCTTACGCCAGGAATTAGCCAAATCCCAACAAGCGCCACAACATTTTAGGGGTTGGTTGCCAAAGAAGAAAACAATACAGTAATGCCTCCCCCGAAAACATGGGGATGGTAGCGACTCAAAGCCATCGAACGAGGAACCCAAAAAACAGGGCCGACCAAATACCTCAGACTCATCGGACGACAGTCTACAGGTGTAGCACAAGCATAGCAAAATGAGCGATGACTCTGACAGGAAGGACATTCACGACCCTTTTGTGCAACATATTGCCAAGGCTACTTTTCTTAAGAAGTTCAAAGCTCCATCATTTATATTATACGATAGGAAATCAAACCCTATAGATCATGTTCGACACTACAAGCAAGTGATGACATTGCATGCAGACGATGAAGTGCTTATGTGCAGAATATTCCCTAATAGTTTGAGATCACTTGTCGTCAAATGGTATTACAGGCTTGAACCTGGATTGGTCGGGAGTTTTCATCAACTCCAGAAATCCTTCAAAGCCAGATTCATCATGAACGAAATTCAGCCAAAGCAAGAAGATTCTCTTTGGGCAATGAAGATAAAGCAAAGAAAAGCCTTGCGGGAGTATTCGGCTCGTTATTGGGAATGCTTCAACCTCGTGGATGATGAATGCAACTATGTTATGACAATTACAACCTTCAAAATGGAACTGCACCGTGATAGCTCACTCCGAAGCTCACTAACTCGAAGGCCTCCTAAAATGGTCTGGTCCCTGATGAGAAAAGTTAAGGAGTACTGCAAAGTGGAAGATGACGCAATCAGGGTTAAAGCTAGCCTACAAGCCGAACAAACGACAGTATCTGTCATGGCACAACCCTCAAACTCTGTCCCATTGGAGAGAACTTCGCTGAGGAAAAGCCCGGACACTAGGGGCCGATTCAAAAAGGAGAACCATTAGGATTCGTGACGAAGTGAGCAGCATCAATTGGAAAACTGTCACGACCCAAACCCATCCCTATAGGTTTAGCATCGTAACCAGCCAGTAATCCTTAGATTATCGAAGGCCTCTGAACAGATAAGCATATAATAAGGGGCTAGCGGAAGCAAATACATAAATATAGTCATCCAATGAGCTGTGCTGACTTTTATGAAACAGAATATTTAAAACTTTATATATATAGTCAAAAGTCAATCATACATTATACCCACAAACATTAAAGTATCTGAAGTATAGCCAACAGAATTACATCAAGTCATATATATACAAACAGAACCAACAGAACTAGAACACAGGACACTTCGGGAACCTCCATACCGAAGGCCTCTGAACAGATTAACAATAATAAGGGGCTAGCGGAAGCAAATACATAAATATAGTCGTCCAATGAGCTGTGCAGACTTATATGAAACAGAATATTTAAAACTTTATATACATAGTCAAAAGTCAAACATACATTATACCCACACACATTAAAGTATCTGAAGTATAGCCAACAGAATTACATCAAGTCATATATATACAAACAGAACCAACAGAACTAGAACACAGGACACTTCGGGAACCTCCACGTGAGGCACAATGGCTGGCTGACAACAGGACTCAGACCCAGACAAAAAGTCTCCAGACTTGAACTCCAGAATGCTCACCTATACATATATATTTATACAAACAGTGAGCTAAAGCCCAGTGGATAACATTAAGGTAAAGAGGTTAGTGAACGAAATCCGAACATATCATAAGTAGAAAACAGATCATAGCATAATCATTCTCATATCAGAACATAATAATGGTACATCCCATAGAACACCTTACAGAACGTCTTCCGACTAGAGTAATCGGTTCCAGATACCGATTAAACACATATCACCACAATGAAGTGGCTAACGAGATCTCGTAATTACTTGTATGTCATGGACCCGCATTTTCATGCCGTTCCCCATGACTTGGGACTATCTATGGATGCCATAATAGATTTCAAACTTGGGATGTTCGTTCATGTAAACAGATATCATTTCAGAAATCATAGCTTATCACATTTCATTTGGAACATAATTTCACGTAAACGTATCTTTATGATAACATTACTCACAGTGGTTCCAGTAAGCGGTCAATCAATCCTCGAGTCTTGGCCTACAATCACAAAATACATAACACAAGCATGTCTTATCATTACACATTCATGTGGCCAACACGGCTTAGCTTACTTTACATAGGTTTCTTGCTTAACGCATTGCTCAAAACACACTCTTGAATCTCATAACTTAGTACATTCTTCACTTAGTGTGTTTCTAATCCATTAGTGTGTTTCTAATCCATAACCTCATTATCAAAGCTTAATTAAGTCTTAGGAATGCCTAAGATGCAATGAGGATGCCAAAACATGAGTTGGAACACATAGGCAAATTTTCTGAAAATAAGGTCCCCGCTCGAGCGGACATGCAAAATGAGAGGGGTCGCTCGAGCGAGACTTCTTTCGCTCGAGCGATCTGTAAGCTACATGAAACTTCTGGAAGCTTGCAATTCACACTCGAGCGTACTTTTGATCGCTCGAGCGGAGTGCACGCACTCAGAGTGGTCGCTCGAGCCTAAACTCCCACGCTCGAGCGTGGATGCAAATTCTGGAATTTCCAAATTTGATCACCAAGCTCAAAACTCGAATTCAATCTTCTAAAACACATCTCTTGGGCCCCAAAACTTAAGATAACATAGTAAACTTGTAAAACATGAAGAATTTAGGATCATTTCATAAAATCATGGCCCAAGGTTTTGTTAAAAACTCATAATTTCAACTTAAAAGTCAAGAAACAAAACATGCATGTAAAATCTTTTCTTCAAACTTCATGAAACTAGTAAATTGAGCTCAAAGGCTCCATGCATGAGGGAAATCCTTTTCAAAACATGGATTTAAGGTTTAAAATATGATGACTTACACATGCATGTGCCAAATAACTCATGATAACAACGTAGATGCCCAAAATCAAACTTAACATGTCAAAACTCCATGTATTCATGCATGCATGTGGATTTCTCTTCCAAATTCTCTTTCAAGACTTCAAAAACATGGGATTGACTTACAAGACTTGATGAAATATGCATGCATGTACCATTCAACCTCCATTTCCAACACAATTGATGTAATTCAAATCTAACTTGGTAATTTAACACCTACAAGAGCATGCATGTATGAATTGTAACTCAAATCTTCATCCTAGGCTCAATATACACATTTAAACTCACAATCTACATGTTAATAACTTAATTCATAAATTTAGGAGTTGAATTCATACCTATAGTCTTGAATTAGTCTAGCTCTTGCACAAAATTGATGAACTTAAGTAAAATCTTCAACTTCTTCCTTTAATCTCTCCTTCCCTCTCTCTAGAATTGCACTCTCTCTCTCTAAGAAGAAATCTCAGATTTTTCTACTCAAGGGAAATGAAAGGAAATGAGCTCAAAAGAGCTAAATGTGATGCATATATAGTTATGATGATATAATGCATTAATTGGGACATTAGGCTAACCAAACACAGCCAAATTAATCAGACTGAATCAAATTTTAATAAAATTTTCCATATGGTTCTAAAAATTCCAAACAACATATCGAGATGCCGATAAGGCTTTCAATTTACATATTAAAGTGGAAAATTCAAATAGATATTTCTGCAAGCAACAGATAGAAAGCCAAATATCATGCAAAATACAGAATAAACACATAATTTATTTTAATCCTCTCATTAGCATCATGAATTACGGATTAGTAACTAATTACAGGTCGGGGTTATTACAAAAACAGGCACCCTAGATGGTCGGATAAGCCATACACTAAGTTTAGCGAGCCGATAAGAAAAATTCTGAACAAGATTCAGTATCAGCCTTTTTTCAGATGGCCGAGTAAAATGTTTAGGCTGCCGGACAAGAGGTGTAGAGATTAGAGATACGAGTACCATAAAGATCATGGACATACGACCGATAAATGTTACGCTCTTAAAGATTACCTAGAGGAGTTGGTCCAAGGAGGCAAACTCGTCGAGTACCTCCAAAGACGAAGAAAACACCAGGGGTACTCATTGTGCATCTCGATTCACCACCTGTTGCTGTGATCCATGTGATATACAACATACCCCCATCTAACAGTGTGCACTCGATTCATATACAATCTTCAAACCCTGACTTGGAGTGTGGCAAGTTGGTCAAACGACCTCGTCTATCAAATGAAATCAGTTTCTCTAATGTCGATCTTCAGGGGATCACCACGCTAGAATTCATGCCCCTCGTGATTGAGTTGCGAGTTAATAAGTTTGCTATCAAGCGTGTCTTAATCGACCAAGGGAGTACTTCAGAGGTCATGTATTACAAGACATTTCTCAAACTCGACTTCAATGACGTAGACCTACTACCAGTCGAATATCTTTCTTTAACGCCAATTCAAAGTATCCCCTCAGCAAAATTGTGTTACCAGTGCGTGCGGGCACTAATACACTAGAGGTCGAGTTCCTTGTTGTCAAACTCCCTTCACCCTATAACATAATCATGGGCCAAGCATGGCTTTATGCAATGCAAGTTGTGCGAAGCACTTATCACCAGCTGCTCTGTTTCCCAACACAACATAGAATTGAGCAGGTTCGCAGCTCACAAGGGTTTTCGAAGGAGTGCTACCTGTTGGCCTTGATCAAAAACCCCAAGGATATGGAAGCTAATTCAATCGAAGTCTTGAGTTAAGAAAGTCCTGAGGATATCGGAAAGACCTCAGCCGATAAGGTTACGGAGGACTTAGATCGGATAATGATCAATGAGGATCCGAACAAATTCTTTTTAATCGGCACAAGCCTTGACGCTGCCGAATGACAGGAGCTAATACCGTTTCTTCATGGTTATATCGATATCTTTGCTTGGACGCCCTATGACATCCTAGGTGTCGACTCAACGCTCGCAATGCATAGTCTGAATGTCGACCCAACGGTTAAGCCGGTTACCCAGAAAAGTCACCGCTCAGGCACAAAGCATGTTATGGCTGTAATCAATGAAGTTGATAGGTTATTGGATGGTGGAACAATCTGGGAAGTTTCTTATCCCATATGGCTATCTAACACTGTTGTAGTAAACAAGAAGACAGGCTTTTGGTGTGTCTACGCGGATTTTTCTGACCTGAACAAGGCTTGCCCAACAGATTACTTCCTGTTGTTGAGAATTGACCAACTCGTGGATACAACCACCCAACATCAACGTATAAGCTTCTTGGATGCTTACAGGGGTTATCATCAAATTGCCATGAATCCAGCAGATCAAGAGAAGACAGCATTCCTGACACCAAGAGGCACTTATTGCTACAAGGTCATGCCTTTTGGAGTGAAGAACGTTGGGGCAACTTATTAAAGACTAGTCACCGGCATGTTCAAAGATCAACTCGGAAAAACTATGGAAGTCTACATCAATGATATGGTGGTGAAGTTAAAAGCAAAAAGGACCATCTAACTGATCTTGCCACGACATTCAACATTTTTCGCAAATACAGAATGAGATTCAACGCATCCAAATGGCATTTGGTATTGGGTCAGGAAAGTTTCTTAGCTACATAGTGAATCATTGGGGGATAGAGGCAAACCTAAAGCAAATTAAGGCTATCTTAGAACTCGGCTTGCCGTAGTCAACTAAAGAGGTACAAAAGCTCATAGGCATGGCCACAGCTCTCAATAGATTCATTAGTTGGTCTTCGGATCAATGCAGATTGTTCTTTCAAACACTATGACAGGGAAAATCATTTCAATAGACTTCGGAATGCCAACAGCCTTAGAGGGTTTAAAAGCCTACCTCGGAGCCTCTTCTTTGTTGACCACCCTCACTCCTGGAGATGTGGTCATTTTGTACCGGGCAGTCTCTGACCAGGCCGTCAGTGCCGTCCTTCTCAATGATGAACTTAGTGAACAGAAACCCATTTTTTACGTTAGTAAGACGATGAT